AAATATAATATATCCTAGACTGACAAATCATCTCCGTTCAGAATCGTTTTTCGTATACAATGATACCTATCATTGCATTCAAATTTAATCCCATCCATTACAGTAACCTACTGTACAGCAGAGTGACATCCACGACTTACCCGCTTTTTTTTATAAATGTTTTGCAATCAATAAATTTATATTTCGAGTAATTTTTTTTTTATGTGAAAGTAGTAGGTAATGAGAAAAGAAAAATAGTTACAGCTTTGAAAATACAAGCTCTTAATCCGGAACAAAGGTAATTGAGTTGGAATAAAAAACAAGTTCAAATCTTTTATTCAAGTTCCTATATTACCAGCAGTTAACTAGCAGTAAAAAAGTAGTTAATACTATATAATAACAGAGGTACATAGCTACATAAAAGAAGGACAGTTTATTAACAACTTAAAACTTATATCTTTAGACAAAATTACTAAAATCTATAAGCCTATAAATGATTGATGACATGAGCTACCTATGCTTTGTTCTACTTTATTTAATTAATCTTATCAATTTTAACAAAATAATTTTTTTCCTAACATTTGTGTTTCTAAAATTATCAATTATTATTATTTCATATAGATATTATTTTTTTCTGTTCATGATCACTATATCACTATGTGGTTTTAGAAAATCTAAATTTGTTTGACTAAATAAATATATTTTAAAAATTATATAGTAATAGCCAATAGATAATTATATATTTTTGTAATATCTTATGAGGTGTCATAATAAGATATATTTACTTGAATAAACAACTTTACTTTATTGTATATTAAATAATAAAACAAGAGCCGAGCCATGGTTCTTGAACATACTCGTACTTTAAACACAATCAATATAGGTAATAATTATTACATAATGTTATCATATAACTTATCATATCACGTTATCACAATTTTGTATTTATATTTGAACATTAAACAATATATATAATGTATATATTATACCTGTACTTGATGATAAATACACTGGTAATGTGTATAATGGTCAAAGACTAATGTTAATAACTGTTCCAATTTTGTAAATAAAAATATTACATTGAATAATTTTTATAATTATTGCGCCTAAACCTTTATGGTTATATTTTATTAGATGCCTAACGACTCAGACAAGTAAAATTTTTTRAGTGTTTTTTTTTTWAATTAAAATGAATGGTATGCCTTTGAGAGGCAGCTGACGCTTTTCACGGGTCTTTAATAATATAATGTATACTTGGACGAATACCTAATTAAAAAATTGTTAAATATTTGGACTTTT